ATCTTACAAATCATCTTAAAAATTTCCTATTCAATAGGGGTCCCCATTGGCCAATGATTTGGTGGGAGGTATCACTTCTCAGCCTTTTTGCTAACATCAAGTATACTTTCTGTTCTTATAAGTCTACCAGAGAGGCTGTCGCCCTCAGTTTGGAGGATGGCGGATTAGTATTCCTTGGAGTATTAAGTGGTTGTTAGGGAAGGGGGTTATCTTTTCCTACTTGGTCGATTCTGGACTGGTGCACTAGGCTTGTCCCCAGTTGTAGCAGTACCCCCTCCCCCCGGTGCTAATGCCTTCTGGTAGGAAACGGTGCTACCCTTGTTCGGCTGGGGGGCTGAGAAGGCAGAGACCATGTGGTGCTGTGCCCCCTGGGGATGACGTCCCAGGGGTGCCAGAAAATCACTATGGGTTTGGGACCCCACGATGTGTCACTGGCACAAGGTCAGGGCACTCAAAGCTTTTTTCTGCACACGCTTTTGGGCAAACCGGAGCAATTTTTTTCTTTATTTACAAGGCCTGCCATGTTTCTGGCAATTATTTATTTATAGCAATTTTTTTATTGCACAAGAACTTTTTACCCCACAGATGATAGGAGGTGTGGGTTCCTTTGGGGCCCATTCTTATGTCTGAGAAGAGGTTCTGTGGCGTTTTGGGTCTATTTCTTCTCCCCACCAGGAGTCTCTCTTTGGGAGAGCCCTCATCAAGTAATTGGTGGATAAGCTTTGGCTGGTCCCTAAGGATCAGGTGGACCAGGGTACCATGTCCCTGTGAAGAGCCTTGTGCCCTAGATTCAGGGATTTGAGTCCCTTCGTCTTTAGAGGAGGACCACAGTACCATCATGCACTTTTTTGTGTGGTTTGATTTCAAGCATTAACATGTTTTTGGTCACAGGGGTTTGTTTTACAATTGAGCTTCAAAAAAATTTAGTGAGGTCCATTACAACAAGTCTATGAGCGTCATCTATGAAAAGTACCTGTATTGCCAATAGCAATCAGACCAATGATATGTCCCACGGCAACTTGCTAGCAAAAGAACCGCTGTAGAGGGCAGAGAAATACTTATTTCTCTGGTATCACTCATTTACTGGCCTGTACAGTGAAGTGTCTCTCCCTTGCTGGCAAGGAAATTTCTGCAGGGTTTCGTCAGCAAGGGAGTGATGTTGTGGTTGGTGAGGCAACAGGTCAGTAATTTCTCTGTCCTTTTTAGAATAGAATTGCAAGCATGACACATGTTAACCTCACTTGTTCTGTCTTGCTCCAGTCAATGATAGTTCTATCATGTTTGATCATAGGTTGGTCTTCCAAATGGAAAAACATCATTACTAAAAGCTGAACACAAGAGGGCAGCCTTTGCTCATGTCAATACATGGAACCCACAATCCTTTCTGAGCTATATCATTTTTAGGTTTAAATATATCCTATCCTTGCTGCCATATGCTCAGTACATAACTCCCAATGGGTTGTAAACATCTTTCAAGACTTTTTATTTTGTCAGTGATACTTGCGTAGTTGTTGAGGCTTTGCTACAAAATGTGTTAAGTTTATTTTCTACCAGTGAAGAACCTAAAGTAAAAATAGCTGCTGCCCAGAGCAGCCAATCATTTTTCTTGTTTCATTTTTCCAGAGATTAAAAGACGAAAAGCAAACTGTAAAAGGGAAATGTTTGTTTTTAATAGTGAATTTGTACAATAAAGTCCAGGTGCATCATTACATGGTACAATTACCCGGACTATACAGAACAATAACATCAGTGGATATATAACAGCGTTATGTGATGACAGGATTCATAGATTTAAGTGAATAAGAGCAAGAATAAAAAACTGTAAAGTGGTAAGTGGTAGAACTGCGGCAAGTGGTAGAACTGCGGTAGAACTGAGGTAGAACAGTGCTGTATACATGGCCACCATGCTTTGCATTGAAGCAAAAAATAGAGAACCTGCTGCGTTTCACAGGTGGTGCTTCTTGTCAAATGCGTCAGTTGAAGTGAATGGCACCGTGGGTAGGTGGTTGCGACTTGGTATTGCAATACAAAATCCAATTGGGACAAAACAAAAACCCCTGCATTCAGGAGGCAGCAGTAACGCCTGGCAGCCACTGCTCCACCACCCTCTGAAAAATGATCCACTGCAGATTATTTTTCAGAGGGTGGTGGAGACTGCAACCCGTGTGAATGAGGCCTAACAGTGTGAGGCTGTGTTAGGTATGAGGTGTTATCAATACACAGTAGACATTGATAAAGGAAGAAACAGGTACATGAGCGCCTCTGTAGTTTAACAGAACCCAGATAGTAGGAAAACCGATGGGCAGATTGGTGAGATGTTTAGTTGAAGAGGTCCACATTATCAGCATATGTATAAAACCTCACCAGGGTTACAGGTACCAGAAAGTGAAGCTCCAATGTGGCAGCCCTTGGCACTGACACCAAGTGTCATACACTGTGTGGGGTCTGAGATATCCGACTTGGTCATAATGGAAGAGGTTTCACAACTAAAGTGGACTTTGCATGAACAGTGTTGGATTTACAGCTGAACTCCAGGTAGATATAAAAGTCACAAATTAATGCAAAACTTAATTATTACTACATCATTACTGTACATAGGTAAATTAGTATTTTTTTTCAAAAGCTAGCAGTGTCTCAACCTCGTTATCATCCCATTGCAGTATACTATACAGTCTGTACAGCAGAGCTGAGAGAGGTGGAGGGAGAAGCTGCACGGTGTGCTGCAGTGCAAGGAGAATGCTGATAGGAGGAGAGAGCAATGTGACAGGGAGACCAGCTCATCAGTGTGCTGCCTCTCCTTTTACTGTCTTAGCACAGGGTGGGAGTGCGGAGGGGACCTGTAGGTTAAACTGAAACTGCAGCAATGAAAGAATAGGTCTTTTCCTCTGCTAGACAGGGCTGTGTTTTGGACAGTACTCCGTACTATTCAGTGCTGTATGGACAGAACTGGAAATACTTTGACAGGTATAACAGCTCTCATATATCCATCTGTGTATTTAGCATTTTACCTAGGGCTTTAGGGCTCATTCACATGGGAATACATGCTCATTCACACCATGTAAGGTAAACACCAGCTGGATCTCTGTGTCTAGGAGCTGCAGGTGTTGCATCTAGCCTGTCTGTACAGATCAGTGTCAGGCTGCGGCTGTATGATGGTGTATGATGGTAAATATTGCTCTGAGTGTATTCATTAGTACAAGATTGGATGCACGCCCCTGGACTCACAGTTTGCGTTCAGGGATGTACATCCATACCTGTATGCAAGCATACACCCATGTTACACAGTGTTTACCAGCATACAGCCTCAACCTGTCATTGATTTGTACAGGTGGGCTGGACACAACACCTGCAAGCTTCCAGGCAGAGCCGTAGCTAGCTTGTTTTGTGCCCGAGGCAAGAACAGAAAATTGTGCTCCCCAACAGACGTGTGCAGTATGTGACATCATGCACCCCGCCTCCAGTAATATGTGTGCATGAGTGTGTGTGTGTGTGTGTGAGGTCTAAACAGACCCCTGACATTTCCCTTTTGAAATAGAAAAAGAGATTGAGGACACAGAGTCCCCTGCAGATACCGGTGGGGGAGAGCAATGGGGATCCGATGAGAAGCTGGAGCCTGTGCCGCTCCTCTTCTCCTTGCCGAGCCGGCTGCCTGGTGCCCCTGTTGCCAATGGCGCTCTGTGCTCGCCATTGGCCCTGGCTGCGCCCCCTCTCAGCTGCGCCGGAGGCAAGTGCCTTACTCGCCCCATGGTAGCTACAGCCCTGCTTCCAGGTACAGACATCTGGCGGTTTTTAACAGTACACAGACCTCTGTGCCCAAAAGAATGAGCCCTTGTCAGGATCCAGAGCACCCCCAGGTGGCGCTGGAGCCAGGTCCTGCAGTTCCTGTGCTCACCTGCGGGTGTCTCCAGCAGCCAGGAACTGTAAGGAACCTGCAGCTCCAGTACTCACCTGCGGGTGTGCCCCAGCTGTGACTGATCATCCCATCACCTGGTGCTTCCTGGGAGGGTATTTAAGCCCTCCCTGCAGTCAGGAAGCTGGCTCAGTATTGCGTCGCCTGCACCTTACTGACTCCCCTGGCTTGTGCCTGCTACCTGAACCCTGCTACCTGAACCCTGCTACCTGAACCCTGCTACCTGAACCCTGCTACCTGAACCCTGCTACCTATCTGCAGACCTGTCACCGACACGGCTTGTTACCCGACCACTCTCCTTGAATCCTGTTACTGTACCGCGCTGCCCTCCTGTTAATGACCCGGCTTGTACCTGACCACTCTTCTTGTATCCTGAGGCCTGCCGTATATCTTCAGGCCTGTTACCCCTCCTTGTTGCTATTCCCCCTGGCTGTAGGTGTGTGTTTGTCCCAACGGTGGGTTTGTTACTTCACTGCTAAACCTGTGGGGGGTTGAGGGGGTTTGTAGTTTTGTTGATGTGTAACAAATAAACTGTGTGCATAGAACCCTATCCTGTGTGGGCACATTAATTTGGTCATCCTGCGTGGGTACCTGCATGTGGTGTGAGGACGCCTGTGCATGGTACCCTGACAGCCCTTAAGCACAGTGCATCTCACAGCAGAGAAGCGGTGCACATAGGTAAGACTTTTTTTATGCATAGCCTCACCAACGTGATACCTTGAGCCTGAGACTTGAGCCTGATAAGTAGGATTGCCACACTAAAAACTCAAATTTCAATTGTGGTGTTTCTACTCTTCCTACTTTCCAAATCCAATGTAAATCTGTATGCGAGCTGCCTGCCCGGTTTTAATACACTTCTCTCCACCAACTCCATGCTTTCCTGGGAAATTAGACCTGGGCATCCAGCTCTACCTCCCTACCCTTAAATACAGAATAAATAATTAAGTGCTAAAATCCCAGGTACTTATAAAATAATGAATATAAATGGAATTTATAGGAAACATCCATGGCTCTGTTTATATTTTTCTTATTATTCAACTAAGTTATACTTTTCATAGCAAAGCTTAATATAACATTTTTTCCCCCCCAGAAACATTTCAAAAGGAATCAAAGAACTCAGAGCTGTCTTACGGGTTGTAGAGACAAAAGCCACACAGAATTTCAAAATGGTAAGTTTAAAATAAAGATAAAACCTCAGTTTAAATATTTATGAACTTAAATGAAAAAAAGACCCAGAACCATGATCGTTTCCCTTTAAAGGTAACACTGTGGCCTGGCATGGCTGTCATCCTTATCCTTGCTTTGTGACTTAAGTTGGCCATACACCAATAGAATTTTGTATGACAAAAATTCATTTTTGGAATGTTCATTTGATTTTTGGAGTCAAATTGATGATCGATTTAGGCCGTAGTGATGAAAAAAAAACAAAGGAGCAGCATGGAAAATGTTTCTATAATGAAATTGTAACAGTGAATATTTTTTTTGTTTGAGAAACTCCATTCATTTCAAAATCGAATGGTAAAATCAAATGACATTTTGAACAGCATCAGTCAAGTCTCTGGTGAGATTATCCAATGTTCTGACATGAAAATTCAACAGTGTACAGCTTAGTCTTCATTTACGCTTGCACTCCTGTGTTCAGATTATCTAAACGCAGCGGCCTTTGTCTGGGGGATGCACAAAGTTTAGGCTTCTCATATCACTTTTTCTCGCTTTGAGAAGTGCCCGCTTTAAAGCAGATTTTGGATGCACATAATTTAATTTTCTCTAAATGCCGCTTAAGTGTCTGTTCACACCTAGGCGTATCGAATATGCGCGTTTGTCGTGCGTTTCGTGACGCACATTTTTACCGCGGTTCGCGGTAAACAAACGCGCGACAAACACGCGTTTCCAAGGGCTAATTGGCTGTATCCCAATGGAATTGCGCGACAAAAGCCCCGCAAAGAAGCTCATGTACCTTTTCAGGCGTAGGCCGTTTTTGTAGCGCATTCATGGGCTGAAATACGGCAAGGTGTGAACCATACCCATAGAAAACAATGGTATTTTCATGTTTGAGCGTTTTGTAGAGCGTTCGTAGAGCATTGAACGCGCTACAAAACGTACAGGTGTGAACCAGGCCTAACTGAATGTCCCATCTGAATGATGACATTGAAAAAAATCATTACCTGCATTTTTATGCATTTAGGAATGTGCACTAAATGCATATAAACACAGGTTTGACACTGAAGTGTGAATGAGGCCTTTACTGACCTGCACCAAGCAGGTAGGCAGTGACCTGAGCGGATACCTGATATGTATTTGCTTGTGTCATGTCACTGATTCAATAAGGCAAAGCTTAGGTTAACTATTACTGCACTTGAACCTTAAAAAAACAAGTCAACAGCCCCCATACCTATTCTCACTGACTCCTACGGGCCTATTCACACTGTTGGCAGCACAGTGTACCACAGCGCCCATTGGCAAGGTGCATTGGGGTGTTATTCAGAATGAATGGCAGTGCATCCCTCCAACGTTCATTACAGCAACACAATATTGTGAATGGGCCATAAATCTGTACTAAGAACAGTGTGTGGGCTGTCATTGCTGATCTCTCCTCTTGCTACACTGATGCAGTAGCTTCAATATTCTGTGAGCCGCAGACCTAGAACAAGTGTGTAAATTCGGAATTCTCTCTGACTTCACAGTCTGCATGCTTGTTCCAGGTCTAGTGCGCCAAAAGCATTGAAGCCGGAGACGGCCAGGCAAATAATGTAGTATTTTCAGCTGGTGGTCACCTATGGCAGCCTTCATATTCCTCTCAATACTTTTTCTGATGTTTCTTTTAACAGTTGTTACATACCTGCAGCTGCCTCCCTAACCCTCTTATCATGGATGTGTGTCATGCCATGCTGACGGGCAAAGTTTTAGCAGTTCCTGATAGCAATCGCTTTACCGGCCCCTTAAAGGAGAACTATGACATGAGTGATTTCCACTCACCTCATAGTTCTAAGCCGACCTGTGACAATGAGACTGTCACAGGTCAGCTCAGTAGATCGGGAGGTGAGAGAACACATACCGGGTTCCCTCACCTCTCGATCCTGTCATGGCTCTCTGCCGTGACAGGGGGAGGGGCTGGATTCCCCTCTCCCCGCTCCGATCTGCCAGCGCTGACTGGCGGAACGGACGGGGAGGGGGCGGGTACAGCTGGCTCTGCCTCTAGATAGGCAGAGCCAGCTGTCACTCACGCAGCTGGGCGGATCCCGTCATCTAAGTCGGGATCCGCTCCAGGTGCGGCGTCTCAGGATACCGCGAGCTGTAGCTCGCGGTATACTGAGCTTAGGGTAACGGGAGGACGCTAGTTTGTGTCCTCCCGTTACCCCAAGGAGAACTATGGGGAAAAACACTGACCCCATAGTTCTCCTTTAATGTCTCCTGCACATTACTGTTGACTAGTGAGGCTGCCCATCATAGTGATAGACCCATAGGGGTGTGTGGAGACAGCGCTTAGTATCAACCCCTGACAGTACCAAGTGTCAGAACTTTCCCTGTGGAAAGGTTTGTAATTTGGCCATGACAGGAGGGTTTGGGATGCCTCTGCTGTACAGGCACCTATAGAAGCAATTAATGTATACCTGCAGCAGTTTAGTTTTCCCCATGAGAGAGTTCTTTTAAATGAACCCTTAGTTTTGCAAAGACTCATAGGAACCCACCCTGTTTGACCTAGTAGACTACAGTTTGGGTTTGGAGTCCTGTGCCTATAAATCTTGCAGTAGATAAGTAAAGAAGTGTGCAGAACTGTACAAATAGCTGTGAGAGTCCTCCACTTGTGTGCACTGTCAGGTTAAGCCCAATGCAAACACAGCAGATTGCACCTGTGTTCCAGCCCTTTATCACATCCAGTATATTTGCTTCCTTCATTTTCTGAATAACTCCACTGCACGTAAGGTGAAAATGGCAAGTTAAATGATGCGTTAAATGCGGAAGTGACATCAAGATTGGTTTGTAAAATGTATTTAACTCATTTACATTATACTACAGTACATTAGCGTTTTATCCCTGAACAGGAATCTTGGAGCCAGAGAAATGATATTGCACATAAATGTGTGGAACCATAGTAGGGTTTAACTTCACTAACTTTTTAGAGGGCAGGGAATGCATAGAGTCTTTTGTGCTTTTTTCCTACCCCTACTCGGTAATGGCTGCATAATATAAAAGGGTTGACAACAGTTCTGTAGACACTGCCTTTTGCTGCTCTGTGGACTACTAGTGAACATAAGCTCTTTCCTTTATGTATTCACCTGAGCCTTCTCCTGGGTTAAGGGCATGTGCCAGCATGCTTTTGTTTGCATCAGACGTGTTTTATATTTCTATAAAAGTCTATGAGAATGCAAGCCCGGCTTGAAAAAAGGTCAAAAGGAAGTCAGCTGCAGGTCAAATGCACCTGTAAATGGATTCTGAATGATCTCAGAAGTGTCTTAAACCAATGTCAAACTGATGCCATCGGCAACCCCAAAGCCCATCCACATAGGCCCTAAGCAATTCTGTGGCTATTAATCTTGTGGCAGAGAAGGTAACTGCTTCTACAGCAGGGGTGCCTATTAGGTAGATCATGATCTACCAGTAGCTCTCAAAGCTGATGCTGGTAGATCACGAGGAGTGTGAAAGGCGGCGTCTTTATTCCATTTTGGTATACAGTATTTATTTAGCTGTGCACACATGATTACCTATTAGCCTGAGTCTGCTGAGCCAAGCTCCCTGACACCTTTCTGGTGGATACTGGTGCTTGAAGTGCTATGTATTACATCAAAGAATATTAGTTTACACAGCCTGTTGCACTGCACTGTTTGCAAAATACAGCAAGGTGAGCCAGGAGAGAGAGCGGGGAGAGACAGACAGGGGAGAGAGCACGAGAAGAGACAGCCAGGGGAGAGAGCAAAGAGAGACAGCAAAGAGAGACAGCCAGGAGAGAAAATGAGGAATGACAGCCAGGAGGATGATCAAGGAGAGACAGCCAGGAGGATGATCAAGGAGAGACAGCCAGGAGAGACAGCCAGGAGAGAGAGCAAGGAGAGACAGCCATGAGAGAGAGAGCGAGGAAGGTTTTGGTTTTTTTGGTAGATCTCATGTAGCTCGTCATTTGAAAAGTAGATCTTAACACAAAAATTGTTGGCACCCCTGTTCTACAGTGTCGCTCCCTCACTAACCAAAATACTGCAGAATTTTGCTCATCAGTATGGGAGCAGCAATGAAGCTACATCTCACTGGTTTGGCAACCAATGGGACAACGCCACACGAGCAGGTGTGTGTTCTCTCTGGTGTGATGTGGGCCACAGACGTGTCAAAAAAAACCAAAACATTTGTGCAATTCCATGGAGACAATCAAAAAGGCAGACGATCGTTTGAGGTACATGGCTGCTTGCAATCAATCTTCAATCGATCGGACCAGTTTCAAGATGGGGCAGCTGGAATAAACTTTGTTTGCTGCGTTTTTCAATTCTGATGGTTTGTAACATGATATTTTTTGCAAAACATTCCACAAACCTGTTGTAATATATCAAAATATTATCATACCAAAGTTTACCTCCAAGCTCGGTCCTGTGATGAACTACAATCTCACGTTTTGTTTACTAATTTGTAGTGAGATTGTAGTCCTTAATGGGAGCGAGCTTGGAGCGGTGACTACTTTACAACACACAGGGACCATGGGGAACAAAAGTAGTCACCCTCCAGAAGGAAGGACAGTATCAGCACCAATTCAGAGATGATTTGAGGATCTACAGCTGAGTGATACACAAATAAGATACATTTCTGTTAATAGTTAAGGTACTTGAATGTATTTTTAAGATTTAACTCCTGAGTTTAGTGTTACTTTAAATTGTGTGTAGTTTGTAGTCTACCTTCTCTATTTAATAAAACACAGAATGCTCTGGCAAATCTGATTATTAGGTGCACCTGTAATAAATATATATTTATAACATAACGTTTATGAAAAACAATAATAAAGATATGAAACATAAATTCAAAACTGTAAACTTCCTCAGTTTAGAATATATCAGTTTAGAAACTTGTGAACCTTGAATTGGCTATTATGCCTGCGGTCCGGCCCTGTGCGACGCAATCAAAATAGTGCTTGTAGCATTTTGATCACACAGGTTCGGACCTCAGGCACAATGTGCCTTGCGATCCCGTG